TCGACAAGACAGTGAAATGTTTTGTCAGCGAGGCTGGAAAACAATACACATTTGATTTGTCTAAAACTAGTGAAATTTTTGACCACCTTAAGAAGTATGGTCTAATTAAGTTGCCATTGAGGCATAAAATCCCAACAACTGGCGAAATAGGGAGTAAAGAATACTGTAAGTATCATAACTCTTGGAAACATTCCACTAACAATTGTGTTATTTTTTGAAATGTTTTGCAAGAAAAGATCGACATAGGGATTCTACGATTTCCAAAAAAGTCTAAGGAAACCATGGGAGTTGATGTAGACCCATTCCCTGACTTGTCCATCAAAGTGAACGTGGTAGATTTTCGAACCCTTATCAAGGATAGAAATCGATCATACTCCAATCGCAGACTTGCAGTTGATGACTTGAGATGGGTCATTAAGGAGGTCAGAACTCGCAAAGATCATGCTAGATCAGATCCTCCACGAGAAAGAAGGCACGGGGGGCATGATCTAAAACAACAGAAAGCTAGTCCAAGTTAAAGTGTTGTGAAATTTGGCTATGAAGGACGATCCAGAATGGTGAAACCGCCGCTCAGATCTCCTAGCCAGAAATGGGAGCGAGAAAGTCATCCAAAGTTCCCTAAGGCTCAGAATCCAAGAATTTTGAGGTGACGCTTACAACGCAAGAGAGTGGAAGAGAGGTGCCGACAACAGATGGAGAACTCGGGAGGCATGGCAGATCTGGCTTAGCCGCTCCCAGTGAGAATGAAAACTGTCTGGGTACCAAAAGACAAAAACAGGACATCAAGTCAAACATCACTAGAAGATGAAAAACAACCCAGAAGTCCAACTTCTCCCCAAGTTCTGACTGTGGAGACAAGTGAGGAAACTGGCTTGAAAGCAACGTTCAAGGTGGCAGAAGAAATGGAGAATTCAGCTAAGCAAGAAACCATCCAATTTGGTGAGTTTTTTTGTGAATTTGTCTTGTTTGGTGCTTACCCTTCGGTCTTCCAAGCCAAAGGAGAACTAGAATCTATAGATTATCAATAGGCAGATTAGACTGAGGAAGGAGTTATTGAGATCCCTGCAAAGGAGGATGAAAATGAAATTTCAACAGATAAAATTATTTTTGAGAATCTAGAAGAGAGGATGGCCGAACATATAAGGCCATTATACATTTATGCTCACATGGATGGGATGCCAGTTAATCGAGTTCTAGTGGACAATGGTGTTGCTGTCAAGGTGTTGCCAACTTGTATGTTACACAAAATTGGCAAATCTTTGAAAGATTTGATGGAGATAGAAGTGACAATCAGTGACTTTACATGTGGAGTAAATTGCTCAAGGGGAATTCTGCCAGTGGAGCTCACTGTGGGAAATAGAACTCTCATGTGTGCATTCTTTGTGGTTGATACTGTAGCCACTTATAATGCATTACTTAGGAGAGACTGGATCCATTCTAGCTGTTGTGTTCCTTCAACTTGGCACCAAAAATTGATATTCTGGAATGGTGGCAGAACTGAGGTCGTGAAAGTTGATGATAAACCTTTTGTGGCCAACACTAATTCGGTGGAAGCTCGTTATTATGATGAAGAAATTGGGACCATTCGCTTCTTTGGGATGGACGGTAATGGCAGACCAGTTGGAATTACTACCAGTACTAGATCAGCACTCACTAAACGCACAGTAAAGAAGGTTTGTGATGAACTCCTTTGGCCTACAGCAATTGTTCCTTTTAGGCCAAGGGAGGAGCCAGAAATTGAAGAAATTCCATGAAGAGACAGTGAATCAATTGCTAGAAGAAAGAGGCCGTGGAAGAAATTAAAAGGAAATTAGTGGCCTATCTTGCAGAAAAAATGATCAGTGTAGACAGATCTGAGGTGGTCCGTGAAGGTAAAAAGGAAGATCTGACAAATGAGGTTACTTTAGAGGAGTTGGATCTAGCTCCAGCCAAACTTAACGATTTGAAAGCAAAAGTATAAGATCCGCTAAAAGAGGTAAATCTAGATATTTTGAATTCTAGCTAAGTCAGATTTGGGTGAAATTGCATAGTATTTTCTTTTTCCAATTTAGCATTTTTTGAGTTTCAATAAAGGTGCTAATCTAAATTTGTAAGCTAGCCAGATTTGGTCGTGAGCAATCATAGCAACTGAATTATGGCCGCGTCAGATTTCAACCTGTTCTAGATCAAGTATGCAACAAAGGCTGTGAAAGAGGAAAGTTGATTTTTGATTTTGAAAACTACATTCAAGTTTGCCTTCATATCTGCAAGAAGTTATTACGCTGTTTTGCCAAGCTCTTTTTTGTCTATTCCGTAAGGGGAATCTATTCGTTTAGTTTTACAAGCTTGGCTTCAAAGTTTGAGATCTCCTCTTTCACACCTTAGAGTTGTTTAACATGTGGCATTGGTGGCTGGAGTTTGCATGCAATTTATTTAATTATAAACACTTGGATTTATTTCCATAAAACCAAGTGTTGGGGGGCACTGTTTACATCATAAATTGCATTTTTTTAATAATGCCACGTGTCAAGAGGATAAAGTGAGATTAAATCTTCTGAAGGATGCATATTTGTAAAGTTGGTTGGGAGGATAAGGGTTATCCAGTTTGTTGCAGCTTGAATTTTAAAAGGAACAGAAATCCCTAGAATTTGGGAGGAAGTTGTCCGTGCTCTTATCAGTCAAGAGACAGTTTGCAGCAACATATAAATAGAAGCTTTCTGAATTTTTTCTCGACACAGCCAGCCCTACACAGAAACTCATCAATTTTTCAATTTTTTAGTTTCATAGTGATTGCTCATCTCAGCTTTCATATTTCAATTTTAGCACAGATTCCAGTAGATTTAAGTTGTTTTCAGCAATCAAGTACCCAAATTAGTTTATGCAATTGCTTCTTTAATTTCCTTTCGTGCAATAAACATCAAGTTTATTCTAATTTTCATATCATTCAGTTCATTTTGGATCTATTAACTTCAATTCACGGTATTGGTAAAGTCCTTGAGATTGTTCAAGGCAGATTAGCACCTATTCTGCTGGAAGACATCCCTCCCTCTTG